GAACTCAATTTCCTATACTCTATCTTATTCATAATACGTCGATGCCTACATTTAAAAAGATGGTTGGTAAGGGATTGAATGCGGTTGTCAAAGAGTTGAGTCAGAAGAACCCGATGAGCTTCTGGAAAAGGTGCCTTAAGGCAAGAATATCTATCCACCTTTATAGTGAAAGACAAATGAGAGATTCAGAAGATAAATACAAGTTTCAACAAGTAAAGGAAGCAAGGTGAAAAAGGGTACGAGGTACCCAGCTAGGGAAGATTATCCTTATTTACCATTCAGGAAGAGAGATATAAGCATTTTATGTTACCTTTAACAGTAACAGAGGTATGTATAATTGGCCACACCGATCTAAGTTATGCTCTATGGGAGCTAACAAATATAGTCGAAGAGAAGGACATGATATCAGGATCCAGCTGGGGTTAAAATAACCCAAAATGTTAGGTGGATTGTTATCATTAGCTGACATTCCGAAGGATGTTGCAAATGTGCTAATAGATCTCCTTGTGAGACACCCAGATGGTACACTCAAGAATATTACAATTAGATGTGAATACTAGCATGATAAAAAAAAATTTAGAAGATAGGCACCGAAAGCCTGGAAGGGATAAATATTACCTTAGTGTGACTCTCGTCCCTAGTAGAGAGAGGGCGTTGAGCAACCCGAAGAGCCGATGAATGAAGCAAGGAGAGCTAAAAGCGAAAGAATGTCGTGTTGAAGTTTTCACAAGAAAGGGATGGGCAAAAATATTAGCAGAGTAATGAGAAGAGAGATAATGAAGAATTATAAGTGAGATGTGATAGATGACAACGGTAGAGTATTACAGAACCTATAGTCAAATGCAGAAAGAGACGAAAGGTGATGGTCCTTAAGACAACAAAAGAGTATAGGCCATAGAGTTACATCCTCATTTCGAGAAATAAGTTTGCGACTCTAACATGATTAACAGAAGAAAATGTTAGACCCTAGAGTAATAGAAATCAGTATGGACTGGTGAATAAGATAAACTAGACATGAATTAGGAACTGAGTAATTTGGTAATAGTCAGCATCATGAGAATTTCAAGTTGCATTCTGCCAATAATAGAATGGACAATAGAAGAAGATCCATGATGAATTCAGAGAATGGTCATTTAGGGATTCGCTTCCCTAAAGCAAGCAATATGAGCAAAGATAAGCTTAAGTGAATATGTGTGCCTGTTACACAAAGTGTCGACCTCGTGAGTAAGGAATTTTGTTATCCTTGGTACAGAAGGATTACCGCAAGGCAAGTAATGGTCATTGATGATGTGAAAAGTTACCAAAGATGAAAAGGTAAAGTATCTATAGGTAGATCTTCGTAACTCTAAATCTTAGTACTCCCTTATGGGGGAATATGGAGTGATATGGCAGTAAGTCAGATTTAAGTGGTTCTAGTAACTATGGAATGGCAAAGGAAGAATGCGATAAAAAATGAGGAAGGAATGAGATTGCACTTATCCAAATCCTACAGATATGCTACGATTCCAGAACATTATGCAAGCCCGACGTCAAGGAAAGGAAGTAAGGGTTCCTGCCGGGATGTTATTGATAGATAAGAATCCAGTACGTGATGTAAGTCTAGACAAAGGAAATAACCCAAGGAAGATTACGCGGAATATAGATATGAGAATGGGCCAATAAGTACTTAGTAGTAGATTCAGGAAGAGCCTAGTTATGGCTAGACAAGAGGATACAGACAAATCAATATATCGTGCAATATAAATAAAATGAACCCTAACATGGGAAATTCAGCCTCACAAATACAACATCATGACCTTGAGAAATACTCAGTGTAATGACCCGACCGATCGTTTTGATCTCTAGCACACCGTTCGGTAGTTTGAGGCTATGGGTAGCTTCACTTCAGGCATTATGACTTGCACGCACGGTCAGAATTGAATTTCGGGAAGATCAGAGTTGATTTAGAAAGAAAATTCTCATTTCGGAAGCTTTAAGTTAAAATAATTGACTAAGATTTGATTTTTGAGTGAACGACCTCATAATTGGAATTTGAAGGTTCCAACAAGTTTGTATGATAATTTTGGACTTGGGCATATGTTCAGATCGGGTTTTCGATGACCTGTGAGCATTTCGGCGCCTATTGTGGAAGTTGGCATTTTGGAAGAATTTCATTAATTTTGGTTGCAGTGAATTTCATTGTTATCAATGTCCATTTAGGATTTCGACTCTAGGAATAGCTCCGTAGGGTGATTCTGGTATTAGGAGCACGTCCGGAAGTGGATTCTGAGGTCTGTATGCCATTTTGGGGTCATTTGGCGAAAGATAAAAATTTGAAGGCTTTTGAGAAGTTTGACCGGAAGTGACATTTTTGATATTGGGGGTTGGATTCTGATTCCGGAAATTGGAGTAGGTCCGTAATGTAGAATATGACTTGTGTACAAAATTTGAGGTCAATAAGACATAATTTGATAGGTTTCGGCATCGAATATAGAATTTTGAAATTCTAAAGTTCATTAAGCTTGAATTGGAGTGAGATTAATGATTTTGATGTTGTTTGATGTGATTTGAAGCCTCGAGGAGGTCCCTGTTATGTTATGGGACTGGTTCGTGTGATTCAACAGGGCCTCGAGTGTGTTTCGGGGTGGTTTCGGATCATTTCGGGCTATTTTGCAATAGCTGATGCTGGTGTCTAGTGTTGTTCTTTGCGTTCACGAGGATCGTCTCGCGTTCGCGAAGAAGGATTTGGTTTCAGGGACTTTCTACTTCGTGTTCGCGAAGAGATCCTCGCTGTCGTGAAGAAGGAAACCTCTGTTGCACATGTCTGACTTCGGAGGCTCATATCTCGCAATCTGAAAAGAATTTGGAGATGATCCAAAAATAAAGATTGTATCCCTTTGTGTGTATTTTTCAGAAAAGTAAACTATTTAGCTATTTGATTTATGTACAAAAAGTTATGGCCAGTACACTACAGGCTGTCCGAAAAGATGAAGAAGAAATTTATGTTGCATAGGGCTACTTTTGGTGGCTTATATCTCGAAATCTATTAGGAATTGGTAGATTACCAAAACATTAAAGTTGTACATCATGGTTTCTAATTTTCAAAATGTTAAACCATTTGTAATTTGGAGTTTTATACAAAATTTTATAACCATTATACCAGAGGCTGTCTGAGAAGATTTTGGAAAATGCTTTTTGGGAATTTTTTCTTTGTGAACGCGATGAGGGTCTCGCGAACACGAAAAAGAGTTGTCTGGGCAGTGTATAAGTGTAAAGAAATGTGTTTGTCTCATTTCATCTTATTTTCTCCATGGGAGCCGACCTAGGAGGGATTTTGGAGCTCCATTTTCATCATCCATGTTAAGGTAATTGATTCCCACCTACTTCAAGTTAATTACTTGGATTATATCCAAATTTTAACATGGAAAATTATGGGAAATTAGTGAAAATTGTGGTTTTGAAGAAAAACCTAGAAATTTGGTATTCTAGAATTTTGACCACGATTTTGGGCACGAAATTGGGAGTAAATTATATATTTGATTTCGTGAGGTTATGGGTAAAGATTATCTTCGACAAAATTTTAGAATCCAGGCACGAGGGCTCGAGGGAAATTTTGTCAACTTTTTGATCGGGGTTAGAAATTATTATGACTTGGATTATTATGAGTAATTTAGCATAAATTAATGGGTATGCATAATTATTGGCTAGTTTTGGAGCGTTGTGCATCTGCTTGAGCCTTCGGAAGGGCGTGGAATGTCGGTCATAGAACTTCGGAGCAAGGTAAGTCTCCTTTCTAACCTTATAAGTGAAATAATTGGTTGTGTGCTTCTATTTGTGGGGACTACGCACGCAGAGGTGACGAGAGTCCGTGTGTAGCTACTATTATATTTAAGTCCGGGTAACCTAAGACCCAAAAGCATGCTATACGTGAAATATTTGTAACCTTATTGACAATGTTAATTGCTTGAACCATATCGAATTAGTAAATGAATTTTCTAAAAGGTTTGACCTCATTTTCTTAACTATTAAAAAGAGAAATTTCCATTTCTTTGAAAAATTGTTCCCTGATGACTTCTTGATTGATTGTCTATGTGTGTTTATTTTTGGAATGGGTCGAACGCCTCGTCCGATTAAATAGATGCATCTATGGTTCGTGCCATTCGACCCTCTAGTAGTGCACAATTTAAATATTTGTTGGATTGGGCCGTACGACCTCGACATGATTTGTGCATGCTTCTGATGCTTGCTTAAGATCTACAAAATTGAAGTTACCTCCCTGGTTGGAGATAAATTGATAAACATGATAAAATAAAAATCTTTGGAAATCTATTATTATTAAAAAGGAATTGTTTACCTACTTAAGGAGTTATTAGTTTACAATTCCCCTATAAAATCCATGATTATTCATATTATTAATATATTATTATTGGACCACTAGTAAGTGTCGAAGTCGAGCTCTTGTCACTACCTCTTTGAGGTTAGATGGGATTCCTACTGGGTACATGTTGTTTTTGTACTCATACTACACTTGCTGTATATTTTTGTTGCACATGCATATGTATGTCTAGTGGCCTAGTTGGGCACAGTGGTATGGTTGATACGGAGACTTAGGTGAGCAGCACCTCTCGAGATGACCCACATCCAGCATAGTCTCCTTTAGAGTATTGTACTGTATTTTCTTTTCCTTCCAATTTGTATTCCGGACAGTTGTTGTATCACATTATTTCCTAGAAACTGCTCATGCACTTGTGACATCGAATTCTGGGATGGTTATGGGATTGTCCAATTCTAAATTGTAAACATTTTTAATTATTCTATAAAGATTACCTTTTATTTGTTAAAGTGAAGAAAAATCATAGTTTTCAAAATTATTAAAATGAGAATTTAATTAAGTGTACAAGAACAAAGGTGATATCCAGTGTTGTAACAATTATAGGGGTATCAAGTTACTTAGTCATACCATGAAAGTCTAGGAGAGGGTGAGGAAGACAACGTCTATATCCGACAATCAGTTTGGGTTCATGCTGGGCTGCTCCACTATGGAAGCTATCCATCTTGTGAGGAGGTTGGTGGAACAGTACATGGATAAGAAGAAGGATCTACACATGACGTTTATTGACTTGGAGAAAGCGTATGACAAGGTTCCTAGGGAGGTGCTCTGTAGTTGTCTTGAGGCAAAAGGCGTGTTGGTAGCCTACATAAGAGCGATCAAGGACATGTGTGATGGAGCTAAGACTAAGGTTAGGACTGTGGGAGGCGACTCAACGCATTTCCCAGTTGTTATGGTATTACACCAAGGCTCTGCGCTTAGCCCTTTCTTATTTGCCTTGGTGATAGATGCATTGACACACCATATTCAAGGGGATGTGCCATGGTGTATGTTATTTGCTGATGAAATAGTTCTAATTGATGAGATGAGGGTCGGTGTTAACAAGAGATCGGAGGTTTGGAGACAGACTCTTGAGTCTAAGGGTTTCAAATTGAGCAGGTCTAAGATAGAGTACCTTGAGTGCAAGTTTAGCGTTGAGTCGAGGGAAGTAGGCAGGGATGTGAGGGTTGGATCACAGGTCATCCCCAAGAGAGATAGATTCAAGTACCTTGGGTCGATGATTCAGGGGGGCGAAGAGATCAACGAGGATGTTACTCACCGCATAGGGGCGGGCTGGATGAAATGGAGGCTTGCATCTGGAGTCTTGTGTGACAAGAAAGTGCCACCGATACTCAAAGGTAATTTTTATAGAGTTGTGGTTAGACCGGCCATGTTGTACGGGGTAGAGCATTGGCCTGTTAAGAACTCCCATATCCAGAGGATAAAGGTAGTAAAGATGCGGATGCTGAGGTGGATGTGCGAGCACACTAGGATAGACAAGATTAGGAATGAAGATATTCGGAAGAAGGTGGGCGTGGCCCCTGTGGATGACAAGATGTGGGAAGCGAGGCTCAGATGGCTCGGGCACGTGCAGAAGAGAAGCCTTGATGCCCCGGTGAGGAGGTGTGAGCAGTTGGTCGTAGTGGGTACGAGAAGAGGTAGAGGGAGGCCTAAGAAGTATTGAGGAGAGGTGATCAGGCAGGACATGGTACGACTGCAGATTTCCGAGGACATGGCCCTTGATAGGAAGGTCTGGAGGTCACGCATTAGGGTTGTAGGTTAGGGGGTAGAAGAGCTTTCCTTACTCCATACCGGGGGTGAGGCAGGGTTAGATTAGGGTTAATCTTAGATGGCTTACAGTTTATGTTGAATCCACACTATCCTTGCTGTTTATCTTAGCCTCGGGCCTTAGATTCCGGTTACTGTTATTGCATGTCAATCATCTTTTGGTTATTATGCTTCTGTTACTATTACGCTTTCTATTGGAGTTACTAATGAATTGTCTTTTCTTGTTTTTTTATTTCCGTCTTTCTAAGCCGAGGGTCTATTGGAAACATCCTCTCTACCGTATCGGGGTTGGGGTAAGGTCTGCGTACACATTACCCTCCCCAGACCCCATTTTGTGGGATTTACTAGGTAGTTTTGTTGTTGTTGAGAATTTAATTAAGTATTTATGGTTGGTTTGCCTGACAACAGTGTCCGGTGCCATCACGACCCTTAGTGGATTTTGGGTCGTGACAATATGGTATCAGAGCACTAGGTTCCCTTAGGTCTCACGAGTCATGAGCGAGTTTAGTAGAGTTTTGCAGATTGGTACAAAGGTTTGTACTTATCTTCGAGAGGCTACAGGGCTGTTAGGAGTACATCCCTTCTTGATTCCTCATTGTGCAATTTGATTCCTTTGAGACTTATGCCCTTGTTTCCTTCCTACTCAATCTTTTGTGATGCAAAGTGCTTATTATAAATCGAGAATTGAAGAATTTTAGTGGTACTACAAGATGTGGTGCAGCATGATACTTCGTGCATAGTGGATTGGGCTATTGTCGTCACCCGGCGGAAGGATATTATGTCATTTCAGCTCGGTAGCTGCACTTCTAAGAGCTTTGAGGTTATGCGCAGATTGCTATGATTGCTCATGATTGGTTATCACACAGTATTGACGTGATAATAGGATACTTGCCTATGTGTTGGGGCACTAAATGACTTGGAAGGAGGTCTACTCAGTGTATGATTCAGAGATTCGGTATTTGATTTCCAGCAGAGGAAAAGCAGTTGGCCTATGGATGTCCAGATTTGGATTGATGGAGTAACAAGATTGGTGTTTTGAAGTGTGGTGGAATTTTCATCTATAACGTGGTATCGTTGTCCTCTATTGGATGTGTTAAGTTCGCCGGTGTTATGATCTTTTACGATTCGCCTTTGGGCAGGTTGTTGTGCAAAAGTATTGGAGAAGCGGTTGTCAGATATCGAGGGGTGTAGTGGTTCAGGATTGAATAGGTACTTCTAATGTTGACGACTCAAGAAAAGATGATCTTCGAAAAATTTTAAAGTTAGTGACGATCTTCTGGTTCGATTGTTACAGAGATAGAGATTGAATTAAGGCAACAACTGGCAATAAAGGATGAGGAAGGACATGTAGGAAGTGTCAGGCGGTGGTTAAATTATTAGAAGGCCAGGTTAAGAAGCGAAGGTCGAATAATTGCTTAAAGAGGAGAGGTTGACCGAAGTGGGAGAGTGACAGAGCAGCATGTGGATTCAATGGTAGGATTACTACACCCTCGAGGAAAGTTTGGAGTAAAATGGGAATTTTAGTGGACGGTGATTGAGTCTACGAGCTTAATTTGAAATATTGGCTAGCATACGGCGGGAGATTGGATATGATGGAAATTAGTTGCTTGATATGAAATAGGATACGACATGACTTTGTATATGGAGATCTCATCGCACATTTAGTTGATGTCCACGAGGAATGAATAGACTTGTGCAACTGGTGGATGAGCATGGGGCTTAGGTGGATTATCTCCTGCGAGTTGGTTAGCGGCCGCGTGGTTGGCGGAGCTTTTACGAAGGATTTACTGGTTATCTAGAATGAGGTCAGATATGTAGATGAGGTTGGTAATTCATAGTGTTCATGAAAGGTTAACCGGAGTAAATTTTTGGCGAGTTAGTTGTGCAAGAAGGTTTAACGATGAAGAAAGAATCTTGGTGGGTTTTGAAGTTACGTAATGTTAGCTCCAAGCTAAGTGGGAGAGTCTCGCTGCCTATGATTGGGTTGTATGGTTATCTTCTTGTGAGGTTTCGAGTTATCAGTTTATTGGTGAGTTACTACAACTAAGAGAAAAGAACATAAATGGTAATTTGGGCAAAGGATTCGATAAAGGTGTGCTATGGTTGGCCTCATCGACTCATGCTCAAACCTTGGGAAGATTCAGGATTTGTGCTTCGTACAGAGGAGATTCATAAGGGAAGAGATTCAGTCGTGTGCTTCATTGAGGTGGGAGTTCATGAGCCAGTGGAGCCTTGGAGTTGATTATATTCATGACCAATCCAGAGTGGGTCACTCTCAACAACGGTCCTAGTGAATTTAAAGGTTAAAATGCGGTTCCTAAGGATTTAAGCCTGTAGTATGGTTAAGAATCTAGCTTTTGTCATATTATGATAAGAGGCATGGAATGTTCAATGGTGTTTTTGACTTACAGTGTAGCATTGGGAGGAAAAAGAAAAAAAGACTTTAGATTCATAGAGGAATTATCAAAATGGGTGTATCAGTTGAAGATGTGAATGTGCGTGCAAGGAGGGTATGAAATGGTTCATGGGTTTGGATACAATGTGGTCTCGTGGAATGAGGCCACTCAAGGTGAGTGCAGATTTAGGTTGGTGATGTAAGGAATAGAGCTATTATTATCTCTAAGGAAAGTTAAGGATTAATTAAAAGAAGTTAGATTGGTTAGCCATGGTTGAATTGGCATAGTGGTGGCGGTACGTGCGAGGCTTGGCGGACGCCGTAGTTGATTTTATTTGGAAGTATTCAAGTATTATGGCATGTTATATATAGGCGGATCCCGGAAGGTTATGGTGGTTTAGACCACTACTTGAGGATTTGAATGTTCTACGGTTATGAGAATTTACTAGTTTGTTGCTATGGTTCTCTTAGAATGAGTTAAGTAAAAAGTTTCCATGTGGTGAAGTGTTTACCATATTAGTGGTTCAAAAGTTATGATGAAATTCTTGTAGTATCGCATGTTGTCTTGTTAGGTGCAGTGAGCGGTATGAAATTTGAAAGTGAGGATCAAGGTAGCGGTTCGGTGTTGACAAGGTTGTCATGAGCTCGGATGAGCAGGAAGGGGATTTGGATGTTTGGAGTATGTTGCTATTGTCTTCAGCTTCACCTGAGATCGGCATTTTGTGTCGGAGGCTTTGCATCTTGGTTACGGATTCTTGATATGCTTTACAACATTAGTGTGACCGGTGGTATGGATGTGCATACTTGTTATCTAGTGCGGAAGGTCGTGGGAGCATACCTCACAGGAAGATTGTATAAGTGTGACATGTAGTCACTTGATTGATTGAAGATTTAAACCAAGTGTGAAGATTGTGGTAATATCACTAATTTGAGAATTTATGCCTGGAGGGCACTCGGTTTCTTTGGTTATGGACTTTGGAGGTTTGCTCCGGTTATGATGGTTGTTCTTGTGTATTATGAGAAAAGGGGGTTATTATAGACCCATGAAAGGTTGTTAGCCTAGTACGGTGCGATCAGAATCGGCTTGAAGTCCGTGGATGGATTTAAATATGAATGTGGGCTCTACATCAGGCCAGATATGTTCATTTTAGCATAGCATTCCTTAAGGAGGAGTATTCGAACGTGGGATGTTGTTTCGTCATCGGCTATTTCATATAATATTACATTGCACCATGTGAGTTGTGAAACGACTTGATAAATTTCTTATGTGTTGAGGTTTCACGTAGTGATGGTGTCATATGAGCAGGATGGCTCTTGAGACTCAGATCATATATCGCACCTCATTTGTTCTTGAGTTTTGTAGCTTATGGAGCTATATGTCTATCTTGGGTTTGTGTTATGCACTTAGCGTGCTTATGACCGATATTCGGTATTTTGTAATAATGAGCAATTTAGCTCGATGTGGATCTCCTTACGTGAATTTCATGTGTGGATCGAGTGGCACGCCGCCACTGGTATGTTGTTTGGATCGGGTTGCATGCCACAACAATGTGATGTTGAATATAGTTTCTATATTTTATCTTTTGTGTGTTTTGTTTCCCATTTTCTAGGGAAAGCTCATATTAGTTGCGTGAATTGAGTAGTCCCTTCCAGAGTTCATTTTCTTCATCTACCACATTCGAGGTTGTAGCCTATTGGCATATTGTGGCATCATATGTGACTTTTGATCATGTACGGGGTAGCTTATTGCCTGAGCACTTCGTACTGGGTGAGACAATATTTTTGGATCTAGGATCAGTCCAATCGGACTATATAAAGTGTATTATAGAGCAAATACTATTATTTGGTTCAGAAATAGGTAATGGTTCTTGTCAGCAGTATAGACAAAATGATTGTTGACTCAGCAGTTGGTTATGAATTTCTACACGTCTCTTCCGTCGTGGCGGTATTGTAAGAGTTAGAACAAGATCTATGTATGTCATGAAGTGCAATGGGAGCATCAAAATCGTGAAAATTTCGCTATTGTTATTAGAGGATGTTTTTATGGTCATATGAGTTATACAACGCATAGTGTGAATTCAGAAGAGGAATGTAGTCATGTCTCGATGCATCGTGTAATGATTGACACAGTGTTCGTATGTTGGAAGCAGGCCTGACAGAGAATTCCGAATGTTGGAATTGGGTTTTAAGCTTGTTTGCTTGAATAATAGAGAATATCTTTATATTTTGCTTGAGCTAATGTGCTCAATTGAGTCATGGTAGCACGGGTAGGTGCTTGAGGTGTTAAAATAGTAATTTCGGACAACTCTAGCGCAATTCTCAGCATGTTCGAGGATGAATGTATGTTTAAGTGGGAGAGAATGTAACGACCCGACTGGTCGTTTTAAGCTCTAGCGCATCAATCAATAGTTTGAGGCCATGAGTAGCTTCACTTCAGGCATTATGAGTTGGACGCATGGTCATAATTGAATTTTGGGAAGTTCGGAGTTGATTTGGAAAGA